GGGCCCGCTGGGTCCCCCGCCTCCGCGCCTGCTGGCAGCCGTTCCGAGCCCAGTGCCTGGGAGAGCCGTCTGCACAGTGAGAGTGGTCGGGTCCGCTCCCAGGAAGCCCGCAGTGAGGTCGCGAACTCACTGTGTGACAGGGACCTGTTTCCAGAGCAGTCTAGCGGGCGGGTGGCGAGGAGGAGGAGGAGCCGCTGGCACAAGGGCTTCCTGGGCTCCTCTCGACAGGGACAGTCCTGTGCTCCGCCTGCAGGCAAAGACCGGGCCGCGCGGTTCCCCGTGGCTTCGTAAGCAATCACCTTCGAGGCGGGCCCTCGGTTCCGCGAAGCGGCTAGGAATGGCTTCCCTCCCGGCCCCTTCTCCCTCACCGTCTTTCCCATTTCTTCCTGGGCCCACACCTCCTCTCTCACCTTCGCCTGCTTTTGGAAGAACAGCGAGTGTACAAAGCATCTCTCTGTCCTCGTCTGACTGTCCTTTAGGCTCTGGCTGGGAGGCAGCAGGGGAGGGTGGAGCCAGCGGTGAGCTGTCCTGGCACTGGCCGGGCAGGGCAGTTCCACCACAGCCTTTGCCGCGAGAGCAGGCCTGCGTGTGCATCTCCAGTGGAAGCCACGCTCGGGGGCCTTGTGGGGGCGTGGTATCTGTGAACATGACAACGTGGAAGGCCTTTATCGTTAAGTACCGACAGCCAGCCCAGTGGTGTGCGTATACATGCACACACCAACACATGCGTGCTGTGGGCCTTGTGTACCCTACAAGATGCAGCTCTGTTTCGTTTTATTTTTTAGCTCCTGGAAGGAGTTTTGAGCAAGAACAGCTGTGACATTGCCTAAGGAGCTGTGGGCCAGGAAGCGGCCCTCCAGGACTAGGGGACACATGAGGACTGGGCTGGCATGGGCCTGGTGGGCCTCAGTGACAAGGGACAGACTAGGGGACACATGATGGACTAGGGCCTGACCATGGGTCCGGTGGGCCTCAGTGACGAGGGACAGGCTAGGGGACACATGATGAACTGGGCCTGACCATGGGTCCGGTGGGCCTCAGTGACGAGGGACAGGCTAGGGGACACATGATGAACTGGGCCTGACCATGGGTCCGGTGGGCCTCAGTGACGAGGGACAGGCTAGGGGACACATGATGGACTGGGGCTGGCCGCAGGCCCCATGGGCCTCAGTGACGAGGGAACTTTACACCTCTGTGATTCCCGGGGCCCTTCCTCCCCTCTCTAGGCTAACCCAGTACGCCTTGCTGGGCAAAGGCCAGCCTCAGACATGCCCGTGGAAGCCCCCTCACTCACGCCCACCTGCATCTGTAGCCCCGGTCTGTGGGGCAGAGGACATGCAGCAGTGAGCAGCCCAGGTGATGAGCCCGTAGCTCGGAGAAGCAACTCTTCAGCCGAGGACCCGGCCCCTGATGTAAAGGCTGATGCTCTGAGAGCCCTTTAGTTCATGGCCGTAAATTATGAGTGACTCTGAAGCACCTCTCCCACCAGACACTCCGCCATCTGTAATTAAAACCCTGCAGGAGAGGGGGCGCATCCTCCGCTCAGGCTGAGCGAAGCCGTTCGTAAGCACGTGGTCTGGCCCGTTCGCATTTGGCCTGGTGCTCTGCTAGGACTGCTCACGGCTCCTGCAGACAAGGACACCCAGTCTCCCAGAGGCAAGGGTGTTGGCGAGGAGAGCTTTCCCAAGAGGCCACCCTGGGGAAAACGGGCCCGTTTCTTAGTTGGCCTCATCTGCTCCGGGTTAAGGGTTCGGGTCCAGGAGAGGGTGTCAGATTGTCCAGCAGGGGTCACATCTGCCCTTGTGGAGAGAGGACCAGGCACTGACCCTGCCTCACTAGCCTGTGTCTCTGGGAGGAGGTGAGGCAGATCCCAAAGCGGGGCTGAGGCAGAGGTGAAGTGGGTGTCGAGCAGTCAGACGAAACCAGCAGAATGCTCGTGGCGGCAGATGTGGATTGCCAGTTGTTAAAACCAACAAAGCGGACCGGCAGCTGGTGCCATGCTTACGCCACTGGACTCCCACGTAGTCAACTGTGGTTTGAGTCCCGGACCTGGCAGCTTAAAACTCATGCCAGGTGCATGGGCATGCATGCCCGAAGTCCCGAGAGGAGAATGGAGGAGAAGGGGTTGTGGCATGGCCATGCCCCTGGGGGTGATTTCGCACTTTCTGTCTCTCCATGTCTCTGTCAAGTGCATGTGCCTGATAGCGAAAAGCTCTCTCAAATAAAAAGAAAAATCGACAAGAGGACCGGATGCTTTTTCTGGGTCAAGAAAGGGGCACATCGTGTTGGGTCTGGGCACCGAGAAGGTCGTTTTCCGGGAAATGGGAATAGCGCACTCTTAGCAGGGAAAGTGCTCCCCGTCCGTGAAGCTGGGGTAACGCCGTCCCCCAGCATAGCCAGTGTGGACTGCTGACATGGGACGGCGGCCACGAGCGGGACTTCATAGGAGGGTTGGATTTCTCTATCTACATCTCGGTCAGTTACATCTACAAAAGGACTTCGAGACGTTTGTAAAATAGTGGAATTAATGTACACGTTTATTTTAGTGAAAAGAATTCAGACCCGTTGTAGCGTTTTCATAATGTGCATTTCCCATGAGCTTTCCGAAGACCGTGCGGGTCTATACCTGTACCTACCCAGCCCGATTTTCCATGAGCTTTCCAAAGACCGTGCAGGTCTGTTCTGAACTGGGTTACCCAGCCCAGAGCCTGTCACCCAGCTCCGTGTGGGTATCATCGCTCTGCTTCTTCGCTGGTGTCTGTCCATGCTACTCCAGTAGAGTGGAGTCCATGTTCTTGGCTTGCCTAAAAAAACTGCTGATGCTGTGGGACCAGCGGATGGTATGGTTCTGTCACTGGACTCCCACGCAGTCGACTGCAGTTCAAATCCTGGACCCGGCGGCTTGAAACACACTGGGTGCTTCTTCTGAGAGGAGACTAGAGAAGGGACTGCAGCATGGCCATCCCTCCGGGGGGTGATTTCTCACTTTCTGTCTCTGTCTCTCTGGCAAGCGCACTTGCCCTATAGCAAAGATGTCTTTAAGAAAAATCCTTGATGCTGTGTGTTCCTTATTTTTTAGATGCCATACCTACATTTATTTTTTATTTTTGTGGTAATTCCTAGCACGAGCTTTTTTGCAAAGCAGGTCCCAGTCCCACAGGAGAATCACGTATCACTCATCACTATCAGTGGCCGGTAACTGAGCACCCCGCCCCCAGCTAACCGTGGCGTGGAAAGAACAGTTCTGCAGGTTGGATGCATGCCGTGGGCTCCGGAGCCAGCTACCGCAGCTGCTCTGCGCCTCAGTTGCCCCATCTGTAAAGGGGGGTGTCCAAGATAACACCACCTGCCCCACATTGTGGTGAGACTTTAGTGTGTTAACTGCCGTGCCCAGAATGCCGTCTGGCTCGCCGGAGCATCAGGGCGGTTCACTGCAACGCCCTCTTCTGCAGTGATTTCTTCCTGCTTTGGCTACGAGTTTGTTCTAGCTGAGGGCGGAGTTTGGCTTTGATTTCCTGTGGAAGCTCCTGTGAGCTCAGCTCAGCCAGTACCGCGAAGCACTTGGCCCTGTGTGCGGCGAGGCGTGCGAGTGTGTTTTCTGGGCTCTTGGGGGAGTGTGGTGTGGACATCCAGTCTGGGTGACAGCTCAGTGACTTCCCACTCTAGCTTCTTATATCGGAGACTACTCTCTGGAGCCTGGGAGTCGAAACAGAGCATTCTGCTAGAAAGCAGATACACTCGGAAGGAGGAAATGAGAATTTTCTTTGCAGCTCACGATGTTTGCCTTTTAAAATTTCGTAACATGTGCTTCCATTAAATAAAAATACCCCCCTCCTTTTTCCTTTATCCTCTGTTTTGTTCCACTTGGCTTCTCTAAGGGATCTGAAAATGAACTGAGGAGGAAATCAAATCCGAGAAAACTTGATGCAGTCTCTGGTTTAAAGTTGCTGTTATACCTCTAGTTAAATTCTGGTTGAAGTACTAGGTATTTTAGCAGTCTTACAAAAACGCATTTTTTTTCCTTAGCAAACGATCTTTTCCTAAGTAGCTAATCATGGTGGTGGAGTTATGCTAATAATGTTAGAGCGAGAGGAACTTCAGACTAAGCATTGGAAATAAAACACTAATTTGGAAATTCGTAAGTAGAGCCCAAAGAAGGCTCTTACTGGGCTGTTTACTCTCCATTACAGGATGCTAAGGTCAGACTGTAATTCAGTTGTGTGGGATGATTTCAACCAAAAGAATTGGAAATGAGAAATGGCAAGGCAGGTCAGCTGGAAATTATTCATTGAACAAACATCATCAGGGTAGAGCCCTGTGCAGAGCACTAGGGTGGCCTTGGGAGGGAAACGCCAGTACACATGGACAGCACTAAGAGCGGAGGCCTAGGGGCCAGCAGACGTCATAACGATTATGTCGCCAGACTCCCACGTGGCCGACCATGGTTCAAGTCTTAGACCCAGAGGCTTGAAACTCATGCTGGGTGTGCATACGTGTGTGCCCAAGATCCAGAGAGGAGAATGGAGAAGGGATTGCAGTGTGGCCATCCTCCCTGGGGGATGATTTCTCACTTTGTCTCTCTCTGTCTCTCCAGTGAGTGCATGCATCCTATAGCAAAAATACCTCTTTAAAAAACAAAAAGAGAGAGAGAGGCCTCTGTGTGCTAGGAGGTGTGAGACAGTTTTGGGGGGAGGTATGATGAGAAAGTGCTTCCTTGGAGGGTGACTAGAGTTTGGGGACAGGGTCTGACATCGTAGTGGAGATGGGGTGGGGAAGACAGTTAGGTACAGATGGGTTTAGCAGGTGAGGTCTTAGACCCAGAGGCTTGAAACTCATGCTGGGTGTGCATACGTGTGTGCCCAAGATCCAGAGAGGAGAATGGAGAAGGGATTGCAGTGTGGCCATCCTCCCTGGGGGATGATTTCTCACTTTGTCTCTCTCTGTCTCTCCAGTGAGTGCATGCATCCTATAGCAAAAATACCTCTTTAAAAAACAAAAAGAGAGAGAGAGGCCTCTGTGTGCTAGGAGGTGTGAGACAGTTTTGGGGGGAGGTATGATGAGAAAGTGCTTCCTTGGAGGGTGACTAGAGTTTGGGGACAGGGTCTGACATCGTAGTGGAGATGGGGTGGGGAAGACAGTTAGGTACAGATGGGTTTAGCAGGTGAGGAAATGGGCAGGTGGCTGCTCCAGAGTCCCCTGGAGCTTTTGATGGGGTGTTTAATGAAATGCTGTGAACAGAAATCAGAGACGCTGAAGAGTGTGGTTTTCAGGATCCTGGCCTGTTAGTGTCTGGCCACACCCCCTGTGAAGCTGCACAACCTCCTGGCCTCTCCCTTCTGTGTAAAAGGGGGAAGTGCTGACAAGATTGTAAGAAATCCACGCACGTAGAGGGCTTCACATAGGTTGGCAGCGAGCGAGGGGCCAGTAAGATTACTAAATAGCAGCAATACATTGTGTGTGGCTATGAGTTACGTGAAGCTATCTCTAGGAATAATTTCAAGCTTCCTGTGTATCTTTACACATCTCCAAACTTGCTGAAGGCCAACACAGTTTGGGTGTAGTAGTGACCCCAGGGACATAAATACGTTTGATATTACTAGGCCCTTGGGGTAAATCTCTGAAAGATTTGCTTTCAACACAAACAGGAAACTATTTGTCCAGAAAAGATGGAAACCAAGTTTCTAGAAAAACAGCATCATTTCAGTCAGCATCATACAAATATTGGGAAGTGGTCATATTCTTTAGACCAGCTTGGTTCGTAACTCACAGTACCCGCTGGGAAGGTGTAAATGAGAACAGAAACTGAGTCTGTTTCCACTCCTCGCGCATCAGGGAAACAGCTGGGAGAAGACTGCAGACACTGTGTTAATAAGACGTGCTCGCACCCTCCTCAGCCCGTGTCTTTGGAGAAATGTTTAGAACTGTGTGTTACACTTGTATAAATTAAAGTCTTTTTTTCAGCTGTTTTCAAATCTTGTGCCTAGTCGGTAACACCAGTGGATGGATTACGAGGGGCCAAGCCGTCCTCTGTGGGTTGTTGCGTTGAAGAGTTTGCACTTGGCTAAGAAGGCTGGGCAGGTGAGAGAGAGTCTCAGAGGGGCCTCTGGGTACCTGAAAGGAAACCCACCTGGGCAGAGGCCACTGTGCAGACAGGATTCTGGGAGGTCCCTCAGTCAAGAAAGTGGCAGCTCCCTCTACAGAGAGCCGCCCAGTGGCCGTCCAGTGCTCTCTTCCCCTGTGACCCTGCAAAGCGAAGGGTGTGCAGTACCGTTGGGAAGGTCATTTGAGAGTCAGCTTACAGGTATGTCGCACTGCGGAGCACCCAGTAGCTCTCGCTCTCCACCCTTCTAGAAGGATCCCACGGGTAACGTTCTCTTCACCCCTCGTGCAGCATTGCTGTGACCCAGGCAGTCTGAGCACACGATGCATCTGGACTCACTGATCCCTCCCAGTGATCGCGAGCCTTCTCACTGTTCTCTTACAGAGGAGCAGACCGAGGCCGGAGGTCCGTGAACGTGGCGAGGCGTGAGCCTCATGGCCGGGCCGGCCTTGGCTGTCTGTTGCAGACCTCTGCTGGGGCGGAAGCGCCCATCCCTCTGGCCTCTAAACAGCCATGCTTTCGGTTTGCTCAAAACACATGGCCTGGGGGCTGGCACGTGGCAGGGCCGCTAAGGCGCTGGACTCCCACATGGCTGACCGCAGTTTGATTCCTGGACCTGGCAGCTTGCTTTCGCTTTCTCTTTCTGGTCAAATTGAAGGATAATAATAATAAAATTACATAAATAATTCTTTAACAGATTAATACTAGTAATAATAATAACGATAATGATAAAACCACATAGCCTGTCGTCAAGCGGTACGATTTCCTGGTATAGCAGGTGAGTTTGAAAATGTTTTGCATTAATTCAGCAAACATGTATCGATGCCCAGGAATGCAATGGGACAGACCGGTCTTGAGGATGCGCTGCTGCTGCGTGTGAAATGGAGCGGAACCCAGGCTTAGGGACAGCAGGGAAAGGCACTTGGGGGCGGGGGCCGGGGCGGGACCACAGGAGAGGCCCTGGGCCATCCTTGGGCCTCTGTGAGCACGCTGGTGTCCAGGCACGTGTCTGAGGTCGGTGTCGGCTGAGTCTGCGTGTGGGTCGCAGAGCCTGTCTCTCCTGCCCTTGCTCCGTCGTCCTCATCAGTCATTCAACCAAAACGGTAACATTCTAGAAGGCTGCAGTTGGGTTTTGTGTAAGCGAAATAAAACAGTGCTGCAGGTTGTCACAGGAGGTGAGGCTGTGTGGGAGGCCTCAGCTTGGTTTCCGTCCCAGTCGGAACGGGCCGGGTGTGGTGGCACGTACCTATAGCCCTAACTGCCTGGGGGCTGGGGCAGGAGGGTCCTGGCTGGTCATACCCGTCAAACACGGATGCCCCCACTGGTCAATGCGTAAGAAAACCAATGCTGTAAAAGCCACCACTTTAAGCCAGACGGTCCGCCAGTTCTAGTGCATTCACAGAGCTTTGCCACCCTCCTGCCTTCTAGTTCTGGAACATTCCCCTCATCCCACGAGGGCACCCACAGCCCTCAGGCAGTCAGTTTCCATTCCTCTCCCCAGGAGCCCCTGATAGCTCCCGGGGCCCCGGTAACCACTAGTTACCCCGTCTCCCGGGCTCGCCTGTGACAGAGCCTCCCCCTCCCCCGCGCCCCAGAGGCGGTGCGGGCCGGGGCAGAGCTCAGTACCTCCTTCCTTCCCTCCTTCCTTCCGTGGCGGTGGAATACGCGGCTGCATGGCCAAACGTGGGTTGTTCATGCCTTCACTGGCCGAGATCATGTTCTTGGCCTTAAAACTGTTTCCGAGGAGCTCCCCGCTCGGAATGAAGCATCAGCCCTGCCGTGCCCGTCCGAAACCCTGCCTCGCTCCTCCCAGTTCAGCTCCGGCTCGAGCACGCGATGCACATGCTCCATCGTCCACGTCGCTGGCGCTGGAGCGGAGCCTCGCAGCGGGGCTGTGTAGTCCTGGATGGCCTCGGGGCCAGAATGAGCCTGTTTCAAAACCTGGGGTGACGGAAGGTCTGGCACCCCCACGCGCGAACAAACCCGGAACCAGGGTGCCGCTTACAGGAGCACGCATGTACCGGGAGCACACGCACACTGCGGTGCACGCGTGTACCTGGGGCTTCCGAGAGCTCATGGGAAATGCCTAAGAGGGAAGCAAGCGTGTGATTGCCAAGCGTTTCTGCACAGAAAACGCTCACGCTGTAGTTCCGGTTTTTGCACGGACTTCCTGGAGTCCCCTTGCCTTTCCTTTGAGCCTGTCCCCGTCTCTCCTCCGACGTGGCTACTGGACCCCTGCACGCAGCAGCCTCTCTTCCTACGTCTCCGTCCCCGCCCTCTCGGAGCGCCGAGACGGCCGCTGCCGCTGTGTGCATCTGGAGCCAGAGGTTCAGCCCGGCTGCCCCCGAAGCTCACTCCGTCTCTTTCCAGGTCGACCCCGTGTTTACAAGGGAAGTGAAGGCCAGAGTGAGAAGGTAAGGGCAGGAGGGCGGCCAGCACGGAAGGGGAGACCCGAGGGCTCCGTAAGCCCAGTCCCGGGCTCTGCACCCACCATCTCCTTTGACGAGCTCCCGTCCTCCAGGCCAGTCCCGGCTCCCGGGAGCCTGGTACAGCCTGACGTCACCAGGGAGACGCGGGTGGAACTCGCTTCGAGATGACAGCCCTCAGGGATCATGCTGACAGAGACGGGAAAAGCCCTTCCTTCAGAAAGGATTTTGCCTTAGGGTGCCTGTGCTCACCAGCTAGAGAGACAGAGACAGACGGAAAGTGAGACCTCACCTCCGGGGGATGGCCACACTGCAATCCCTTCTCCTCCCAGGCTCTTGGCCATGCATGCTCCTGTGCCTGGCGTGAGTTTCAAGCCATGAGGTCCTGGGCCAGAATCGCGGTGGGCCTCAGATCCCAGCGCCGTAACCAGCGCTGTCCGCTGGCCCCACGACGGGAAAGCCTTAAATGCCAAGCGCTTGGTAGAATGAGGAGAGGTCCCTCATGGGCTTGCTGACGAGGGTGCACGTGGCCGGCGCCCTCTGGGAGAGTCATTTATTGGAATATTTGTTAGAGTCGCGTTTGTCTGTCAGGAGAGGGGCCCAGCCGCCCAGGCTTAAACACGCTGGGTTGACGTGGTCACATGAGAAGTCTGGAGGTTGCTGGCCAGGGCCAACACTTGTCCGTCCCACTTATCCTAGAGTACGTGCCCAAGGGGCAGGGAGAGTGCCCCCCAGCGCACCCAGGCACCCTGCAGCCATGTTTCTCAGCATCTCTCCCTCCTGTCGGGCTCCGGGGCATGCACGCACAGGTGTGTCCTTCGTCACTGGGGGTCAGGGTTCGAACCCGATTAGCCAGGCGGGGCCCAAGGTCCCGCACAGAGCGCAGTGGATACTCCTCTAGGCTTCCGGAGCCACGGCTCTTTCTGTCTCTGCCCTGCCATCCTTGGCCCGTGATCCCCAGCCCTAAGGTGACCAAGTGGCCATGGAGCCACCTGGTTCAAGTCCCAGGCCAGCAGCTTAAGAAATGCCTGGCATGTTTCTCAAGGAGACAGTGATGAAGGAGTGCGGTGTGGCCATCTCCCACGGGGGATGACAGAAAAATGTCTCTGGGCCAGCCCTGTGGCCTGACGTCCATGACCCCAGCTCCCAGCCTGACCCTGGCGACTTGCAGAGCATGCTGGGCGTGTGCCCGCACGTGCCCCGAGCCCTGACAGGGCAGAGAGCAGAGAAGGGGCTGTGACCACGCCCCACTGGGGGCACTTGCTAGTGAGTCACATGTGCTCTGGCAATTTTAAAAGGAAAGAAAGAAAACTGCTCTTCCCAAACCACACTGAGAAAGTGGATAAAGCCTAGGCCGGCTCCCCAGGGTGTGAGAGCTGATCTCCTTGTGGAGTGAATCGGAAGCAGAATCCAGGCCCAGCAGGGATCCTCCACCCACCACGACAGGACTGTGCGGATCGTACCCTGCGTGGTCCGCACTGCGTGTCCCCTGCACGGTCTGCCCCACTGAACCCGTGTCCTAGCGCCCACTCCCTGGTCTGTGCGATTCCCCCGGACTCTGGACTGCTCCCTCTCACTCCCTCGGAGGCCCTAGCCAACTCACCGTCCTGTTGGGTGCCGTTTCAGGGCCGCCGGGGTACGCCTGCTCGGGGAGATGGCTCAGGAAGACCTCCACGCGGCCATGAAGAACTGCTTCGCGGTGGTGAACTGCTCGGTCTCCGAAGGCATGTCGGCGGCCATTCTGGAGGTGCTCTGGGAACGGGAGGTCGGGAGTGGGGTGGGACAGGGCCCCTCACTCCTCTTCTGCTTACGGAGCTGACGTCTTGTCAATAAAGTTCTGATTCCCTTTGGCGTTTCAAACACTGCTGAAGCAGACCTGCCATTTCGTGTCCCACTGCTACGTCTCCTGGCCAGCCTTGCCTCTGCCCCTCTCGTGTCCTTGGCGGGAAGGCAGCTGAGGCTGTGACAGCTCTGGGACAGGAAATGGGGTGAGGCGTGATTCTGCAAGAAGCCTGCGTGCGCTGCTCTCTCCGCCCGTTCTCACGTTCTATGATTCCAGCATTTCAGGGAGGGGAAGGGGATGGATGTCCTCATGTGGCCGGAGATGGGGTGGGGCTGGGTTGGCAATTCTAGGGGAGCGGTGACAGGTGCTGGGGTCGGGAGGGTGGGGAGCGGGTGGGCCTGACCTCGTCACCAGCGTTCTGCTCTGTGAGGGCGCCTGCTGTCTCTGAAATGCCGAGGTCAGAAGAAAAGGTTTGGGGTTCATGTCCCCACGCCTCCTGGTGCACGTGGGCATGTGTGCACCTGCGGTCCTGGCCCTGGAGACGAAAAGGGAATCGCGGGATAAAGACCGTAGCTAGCGGGGCTGGTTTTCCTCTCGCTCTCTCTCCCTCTTTAATTAATTAAAAATATAAATAAGGTAGCCAGCAGATGGCATTGTGGTCACATCACTGGGCTTCCACCTGGCTGAGGCAGTTCAAGCCCTGAATCCGGTGGCCTGAAAATCACACCAGGTGCGAATAGGCGTGTGCCCGAGATCCCGGAAGGAGGATAGGTTTCGCCATGGCCATCCCCCCTGGGGTGATTTCTCACTTTCTCTCTCACTGTCTCTTTCTCTCTCTCTCTGGTGAGCCCATGTGCCCTGAGACAAAAACCTTAAATAAATAAATAAAGGAGAAAAAAAATCCTCTCTCTAAATATAAGAAATGAGTTACGCTCCGTGCCTAGCATTTTCTCCTATTCTGGCATCATTTAGGAAAGCAAAACCGCAACATAAACCTCCCCAAAACCAAAACCCTGGGGGAGGTAGTGGGAGCTGCTCCCCGATACCTGTGGGCCCAGCTGGGTCTGCAGCGTGCAGCCCGCCCCTGTCACCCCACCCATGCTCCGGCTGCAGTCAGCCTCTGCTCTCCGGGCTCTTAGCGCTGGCTCTAGAGACGGGCGTCCTCAGGTCCAGGTGGGGCTGGGCTGCTGTGGGTGGCTCCTTTGTATGTAAATACACATGTTTTTTCAACCTCCCGGGAAAGGTAGGGCAGAAGCCAGGAGTGGTTTCTGAAGGCACAGAGCAGTTGGCTGCAGAGGAATCGCTGTCAACCCTCATTCACTTCAAAGGGGAGGCAGCTGTTGGCAATTCCGACTGCCTCAGAATGTGGACTCGGTTCCTTTTGAAAACTCCAAAATAACCTTTAGGCGAAGGGTTTTGAATGAAACTGATTTTCGAGGAGTGGCGAGGGTGCATTTCATTAGAATCAATTCAAACAACCCAAGTGGTTAATCATGGAATAAATGCATAGCACTCTGGAAGGAAGTGACCTTCTGACCTTTCGGAATTAGCTGTATTTTCACAGGGAAGCGCATAAAAATCCCATTTGCTGATAAACACAGAAATCAAACATCAGCCGGATGCCTGGGCCGCAGGGTGAACATTCACGTTGAATTCTGCACTGAGTCACATTAAAAGAATATAAGAACTTACTTCCTCAGCCCAGTCTTTCTAATTAAGCTCTCCTCCCTATCCCAGAATATGCCACTGCCCTCCAGGCCAAAGTTTTCATTGCCAGGGAGAAAAGAAGGCCCTATTTTTATGAGTTTAAAATACTTTTTATATATTTATTTTTGCATGCACGAGAAAGACAAAGAGACAGAGACAGAGGCGAGCACCCCAGCCCCAGCAGCACCAGGCACGGCTGGCGTGTGCCCCTGCTCGGAGAGCTCTCCGGGCGGGGACCTCCTTCCATGCGGGTCAGTCCCCAAAGTGCTGCTTTGCCGTCCAGCCCTGAGAAGGCCGGGTACTGTAAAACAAGGAGCGGAGGGAGACGCCTGCCTCCTAGCCTGCAAGCCCTGGTCCTAGTGCTGGAAGAACCGTCCCCGTCAGGGCTTTCCACAGACAGGACTAGTGTCATTGTGACCGTGACTGGTTCCGAGGCGTGTACGAGGGGGTGGCCATGCTGTGCCTCACCCGCTGTGAGTAATGAGAACGAGGCTAGCTGCAGGGAGGGGAGCATTTTCCTGTCCTTGGCAAACCCTCTGAGAAGCACGGTAGCCCCAGCGATGCCCATGTTGACCAGTGACCTCCCACGTGAGGAGCAGCGACCTGTGGCTAGACACGCCCAGGCTCACCTGGAAATGCAGCCAGACCTCTCTGCAAGAAAGCAGCCCTGGGGTGCGGCAGGGTGGCCTTGAAGCTCGGCAGCCCATCCACAGTGGGTGGCGCCCCCCTCGAAGACGAAGACGGGGCTTCCCTGCGTGGGGTGGGCCCTGCAGTGGGCGGCCGAGGGTGCCCCGCAGCGCCAGCCTTCATGGGCTGCGGAAAACAGCACAGGAGCTGCAGAGGCCTTCGCGCTCCGGCGGCGGCTGCGGCACCAGGCGGGAGGCCTGGGAGCCCATCTCTGGGGAGTTAGAAGCCAGGTGGTTCAGACGGAGGGCTGGCCCTTCGCGTGTTCCGACCTTCACTCGTCCTGGTCCCGGAGCGGACCCCTGAGGAGGCGAGAGCGAGCAGGTGTGGAGACCCTCTCGGGCGCCTGTCTCTCTGTCTCTTTCTCTTTTCTCTTTCCCATGGAAATGAATATATAATTTTTAAGAACCGAGATCATTGGGATGGGCCCCAACCCAGCGAGGATGCGTTTCTAAGAGGAAATTCGGGCATGGACGCAGGGAGCGGGAGGACTATGATGTGAAGACAGGGGAACGACCCTCTTGACCCTCTCGGGAGCCCGAGCACAGCCTTCTCTCGCTGCCTTTAGAAGGAGCCAACCCGGCCACAGCCGCAGCCTCAGCACCGGGCCTCCAGACGCACGTGTAAGAGGACGCATCTGTGCTGGCGCCGCCCGGACTGTGGCCCTGAGCCGCGGCAGCCCGGGGCCGCTGTCAGTGAAGTGGCACTGGAGGGGAGACGGCACTGCCAGGAGAGCTGGCTGGCACTTCATGGCGGAGAGCCTGGCAGGAGGGGCTGCAGGTCTTTTCCAGCGGGGAGAATGGCAGAGACCAGACCTGGTCCCCTCTGCCCGAGCTCCTCCCATGAAGCCCTGAGGCTGCAGCAGACCCCTCGGAGGAGAAGGGCCGATTAAAAAACCCCTAGGCCAGGCTGCACACGCCAGAGAGGGCCGGAGAAATCCCACTTTCCGGGGAGCCGTGCTCTCGGGCATGGCTCTGTGGTCTGGCTGCTGCGTGTGCCGGGCTGTGGGCTGCAGGCACCGAGTCCCGTCCCCCAGGGATCAGAGCTGCTTCCTGAGCACCTGGGGCCGACCCACGCTTCTCCATCCGCATCGCCAACACGCGCGGTCCGGCCTTGCAGCCTCTGCTCTGTCTGTGCGGGGAACGAGCTGCTCACCAGGTAATGCAAATGTATAGAACTGCCCACGGCCTAGGGGTTCAGGGAGCCAGAGCCCACGTGGCCGACTGAGGTTCAGATCCTGACCCCGGCAGAAATTCGCAGGCGTGTGTGCGTGCCTCAAATCCCAGCAGAATGGAGAAACAGGAGACGGGATTGTGGTGTGACCACACCACACCCAGGGTGCTTTCTCCCTGTCCCTGTCTCTGGTGAACGCGTCCCTTCCAGCAGTTACAGGGACACCAGTGGGACTCGATGTCAGATGAACATTTGGAGGGGTCCTTGGTGCCGTGGCAGTAATTGTCACACAGACTACGACAGGACATAGCTCAGGACTTCCAAATGCCAGAGGTAACGAATTTCACAGGTGTGCTGACGGCGCAGGGCTGAGGCTGGCTGTCTGGCGAGCTGTGCTGGCTGAGGGGCCCAGGGTCTTGTTGAGCATGGAAGTCCCCCCCCCATGGCTGCCCCCTGAGAGCCTCCTTGGTGAGTGCCCCCTGTCTCTGCAGGCAATGGATCTGGAGGTTCCGGTGCTGGCAAGGAACATCCCTGGGAACGCCGCTGTGGTGACACATGAGGCTACGGGGCTGCTATTCTCAGACCCTCAGGTAAGGCCTGTGGTCGCCTTGGCCTCGACTGGGTGGTTCTCAGCCTCACTTCGTCAAGAGCAGCTGTGCTTCTGGCTTCTCCTGGGGCTGCGTGCTCGTCAGCCGGGGGCAGCCCCGTGGGGAGCTCGGCTGTCTCTCGTGGTACCTGGCCAGCTGCCACTGTACCTGGGAGGACCCTGCTGTCTCCAGAGAGGGCAGATGGGAGTTCCGTTCCCTGCCACTGCAGGACCACGGGGTGTGTGAGTCACGTCGCTTCTTACGCTCGGTGTCTGGATGGACATCCGCCCACACCACCCTGAAATGCAGGTCACCTGCTCCTTTCAGAAACCTGCCGTACCTGTGGGCGCTTGGAACCCTGGACACGTCTGTGTGTGTGCCCGTGTGTGTGTGCGTGTGTGTGGTGTTACAAAGGTTTTCTGTGTCAGTCTCCTCTCCTCAGTCTCCCAAGTAGCTGGAACCACAGGCACCATGACTGGCTTTCGGGGGGAGCCAGAATTCAAACCTGGGCCTCCCACGTGGCCTCCGTCCAATGAGTGGCAGCGTCCAGCATGTGCCACGGTGGCCGACAGGGCCTTAAAGTGGGGGCAGCCTTGTGCCATCGCCGCAGGGCACGCAAAAGCCCTAAACAAAGACATTATCTCCTGCCGGGCTTTACAGGCAGAAGGAGCCCGAGGTCCCGGAGAGGGCCAGGAGAGGCTTGTGGGAACCACAGGTCTCCACAGCTGAGGCCGGGCTCTGCCTCCCCGTAAGAGAGTGAGCAGAGAAGGTTCGGGGCCGTGCTGGATCTGCCTGACCCAGCTTTTCTCTGCCTGTCCTTCCTCCATCCACAGCCCTTCCCCTTGGGGCAGGGACAGTGGCTGGGCCTGTGCCTTCGTTTTTTAGATATAAGACCTTGCCGTGTGGCCCAGTACTCGACAGTGTTTTATCTGCGAGTCGCGGTCACGCCTGTGGTCTGTCCCCGTCATTTCTGCAACACTGATGCTGTGTGAGCTGTCAGACGAGATCACGTAGCGCTCAGAGTCTGTGCGGTCTCATTGTGACTCCCACACAGCCACGTGGTTCTACGGAGGATGCTTAAAAAGGTGGAATATTCTGGTCTCACCAGAGGGAGGTGGCGTGTCTTCACACACTTTTAAAAAGTGCGTGAGACAGGCACGGCACACGTGGTTTGCTTTTGTCTGCTCTGTGGTCGCGATCAGATTTCTCCAGCAGAGTAGGAGCTATGGCTTTGAAAACAACATGCATTTTAAATAAGTCGGGCTATGGTCATCTTAATCTCAACTAAGAAACGGAGTTGAAATCGGCCGCTAGTTTATTGCCGGTATTGGTAAGGTTCATTTCAGATATGTTTTTAAACGTGTCGGAGCCAGCATGTCATTCGCCAAGGACCACCGGCCTTCTAAGGTCTAGAACAGTCCCCTGGAAACAGGAAGGCTGCCTCGTGAACTGTCTGCAGAACCGAACCCGGGCCTCCCACATCAGAGCCAGATGCGGGATCCAGGCTCCAGCGGAGTCTAGGCGGGCCGCGTCCTGGTTCAGAGGGCCATCTTCATGTAAAAGGGATGCACGTGGGCACTCTGGGGGGCCTCTTTTGTAAGAGCAGAAGTCCCATTGGTGAGGGCCCCACCCTCCTGACCCAGTCACCTCCGAAGGCCCACCTCCTGACACCACGCCCTGAAGGCCAGGGTGTCAGTGCATGAGTTTGGCGACACTCAGACCATGACCCTTCTCTCTGCTGTTTGCCTGTGGCCGTCCCTGTTCCCAGGGCTTTGCATGGATGGCTCACTTGACTCACAGCGGTCATGTGAGATGGAAGCCCCGTCATCTGCGCCTGACAGATGGGGAAACTGAGGCCCGAAGGCGCCCGTTAGCTAGCCCGTGAGTCTCCACGGCATCCTCGGAGCCCGAGCCAAGCCCTCACTGTCACTCATGCAAAGGCATTTCTGGGAGACCACCAACGGGGCGCGTCACTTGTGCCTGGGAGGGGCCCTGAAGGGTGAGATCCCCCGTGGGGACAGACATTGCTGGTGGAGAGAGGCCACGGAGCGTGAGGTGTGCGTGGGAGGGAACAATGCAGGTGGAGAGGAACCCCATCAGAGGAGCCTGGAAGCAGGGGTGTGGTGGGCAGGGCTGGGCGCCTTCCTGAGCTCGGTTTCCTGGTGTGCGCCACCAGCGCTGGCTTGCGTGTGCAACGTGCAGGGTGGTTACAGTTACTGATCAGTTGGCTCTGAATGTATCAAGAAAGCTATCTCAGGACCAGCAGATGGAAAAAGGGTTGCGTCACTGGACTCCCATGTAGTCGACTGTGCTTCAAGTCTCAGACTCGGCAGCTTGAAACTCACACCAGGCGCATGTGTGTGTGCATGCCCAAAATCCAGAGAGGAGGATGGAAGAGAAGGCATTGCGTGTGGCATGGCCCTCCCCCCAGGAGGTGATTTCTCGCTTTCTATCACTCTGTCTCTCTCTGATGAGCACATGTGCCCTATAACAAAAATATCTCTAATGAAAAAAAACATAGAAAGATACCTGGACAGGCCTGACCTAACCGCGTGCGCTCTTTCGACGTAGACCTAGTGGTTCAAGCCAGAAGAATTTGGAGTTCGGGGACCGCCGGCGAGGAACTTTGGGCGGCCTCCCAGAGCTGGGCATGATCTCCACGATAGCCAGAAGAGAAAGGGCCTCAGTCCTACACCTGCGGGGAACCACCAGTGACCACGTGAGCCTGAAGGTGGAGCCCAGGCTCCCGGCGGGGCCCTAGCCTAGCCAGCGCCTTGATTTCAGCCTTGGGAGAAGCCGGACTAGAAAATAAGCGTCTTCGTAAGCCCCTGGTTGTACGGTCACAGAAGACCCTACAGAGAAAGGCAAGCCGGGCTTTAGGGGTGCAGTGTGGCTGGGTGCAGGGATGTGGCCGTATCCACAGAGGCGGACCTCTGGGGAGGGCCATGCATTGTATTTGAGATGATGGGAGGTCGTTCAAGCGGCTGCAAAGTGTCCTGCTGTTGCAGAAAACTTTGTGTGTTTTCCTTTTCCCTGAAACCCCTCTGGACTCTCTCCTGGGGAAGAGCCACTGGGAACGAGTCTCTGCTACCGCTGAGGGGGTGTGGAAGCCAGAGATGCGCCTTGCCGAGCCAGCTGCTCTCAGAGAGGGTCCCCGAGGGCCAGGGGCATCCTGCTGCCCTGGGAACGGTCCGAGCTGCTGATGGTGGTCCCAGCTGTCCTCCAGCCAGCCCCGCTGCCTCCGCAGAGAGTGGGTGAAAGCAAGACCCTGAGCCGTGGCCGTCTGCTGCGGTAACGGGGAAGGGAAGTTTGTTTTGGGGAGCTTGTAAGGAAGGCTTACTGAATCAAGTGAAAAAGCGTATTTCCGATATATTTTGTAAAAAGGTGATTAACATATTTACCCGTGGCAGGGACAAAATGATCTCTATTTTTACACACCGCACCCTTGCAAAACTTCAATGTAAGTAAAGCCCTCCAGACTCACGAACATTGATTTTTTTCATAACCACAGCAATCCTGTTATTTCTCCTTTTAAGAAGAAGAAAAGAGTCGAGCTATTTTCCTAGGTGTTTTATAGCTACATTGTATAGCTTCAGAATTAAAATCCATTTGACATTTAATAGAACCTGCTAATCTATATTCTCTCGCTGGGTCAGACTTCCAAAGTGTAGCTCAAACTTATTTTGCCAGGATGTTCTGTCTGCTTCGTGGGCAAGGTAGACAAGACCAGAGCGTGGAGCAGCCGTGGAGAAGCGGGCGTTTGTTGCGTCTGTCCCGATGACGTTCGTGACGGCCCGCGTGGCTGTGGGAGGTCTCTCTCCCTCTGTTTCTCTCTCCTCCCTCTGTCTCTATCTCTCTGTCTCTCCCTGTTTGGAGAAGACAGCAGCCATTTTCTGGGCAGCAGTCCCCTGCAGTGGTTCTTCCCACCACTGGGTCAGGCCTCGTTCCCGGGGAGAAGGGAGAGCTGTGTCCGAGGCCCACTGGCCTCGCTTGTCCGGCCACAGCCCCACGGGGGCGGAATGACCCGATTGGCAGAGGAAGGCGAAGGGAAGCGCCCGTGGCCTGAATCTGGGCAGGCTGCAGAGCTGGCTTGGCGAGGGCAGCAGAGTGGAGACCGCCAGCAGGAGGGGCTCACTCCTCTGAAGAGGGGAGTCCGCTCTGAGGGAGAGGAGAGGCTTCCCCAGCCAGCCTGGAGGACGCAGACGCTCGGCCCCCCTCTCCCACAGGCCACTGCCGCCGCCACACGTGCGGACCGGC